CCGGGTTTCACCATGTTGACCAGGATGGTCAACATGGTGAAACCCGGTCTCTACTAAAAATACAAAAAATTAGCTGGGCATGGTGGTGCGTGCCTGTAATCCCAGCTACTCAGGAGGCTGAGGCAGGAGAATTGCCTGAACCCAGGAGGCGGAGGTTGTGGTGAGCCGAGATCGCGCCATTGCACTCCAGCCTGGGTAACATGAGTGAAACTCCGTCTCAAAATAAATAAATAAATAAATAAATAACACATATTACACTCATGCCCCCTATAGAAAATGAATTGGAATGCTCAGAATGAGAACTTAACCCACATAGGATGATTTAATTACTTCATAATAAAAAGATTTTTAAAGATTGTCATAAGCTAAAATTCATCATACAGATAGGTTGTTTCTTCAAGCACCTGCAAAGATTCCATTGTGGTATGCATGAATTTTCAAAGCAAAATAACCCATGAGTTTGGAAAATAAACTATGCTCACCTAATGTTAACAGGGTTCACACATAATAAAGGGTCACTTACTGGATCCTATCCAAATAGGCTTCTAAGTTCACAGAAAAGTACCCACCCCTTTTCCCTGCCCATAATGTACATGGGTACATGTACAAACACATGCTCACACCCACACATAGCAAGAAAATATTAAGAGACAGCAGGAAATAATAATTTTCTCTGTTGAAGAAGGTGCTAGACAGTGAGAGGTTTAAACTCTCCCATAGGAAATTTATACTAAGGATACACCCTTCAAAAACGGGTAGCAGCAATAAAAGTTTTCCTAGTAACCTGGTCCGAGTAGACAGCACCATTTATACTGGCACACATAAAAGACCCAGTGTGGCCCGCACACTCCACCCATCTCATCTCCACCAAGTACCTTCAAGCAGAACCTTATCGAAAGTTGCCGATACTTGAACACTGGAGCACGTCTTTGTTTTGATGATATCTTTTTTTTTTTTTTTTTTTTTTGAGATAGAGTCTCACTCTACTGCCCAGGCTGGAGTGCAGTGTCACAATCTCAGCTCACTGTAACCTCCACCTCCCGGGTTCAAGGGATTCTTGTGCCTCAGTCTCCCAAGTAGCTGGAATTACAGGCACGCATCACCATGCCTGGCTAATTTTTGTAATTTTAGTAGAGACGGGTTTTCACCATGTTGCCCAGGCTGGTCTTGAACTCCTGACCTCAAGTGATCCTCCCACCTCAGCCTCCCAAAGTGCTGGGATTATAGGCATGAGCCACTGTACCCGGCCTACAATATCTAATTTTAAAAAGAAAAAAAAATGTGCACTTTCATCTCAGAGAGATCTTTCCAGGAAGATTTTGTCTAATGGTGAAAGGCTTGCCTTACGTAAAGGACAAAGACAGGGTAGATACTTGGCTAATGTTTCCGCTAGCAAAGTCTTCTGCCCCTCAGTGGAAAGTTTGCACTTTGGGCCATATAGCCCCGAATGCACCACTTATCCTGTCTGCATTTCTAAAAAGCATTACTTGAAAATGTAATATGACATTCTTGCCAAAAGCCCTGTGACACATGTAGTCCAAGATGCACTTGCAACTTAAACCCCACGACATACTTGGGCTACTGGGGATTCGGTGCCGTAACTAGTTAGTACTAATGAGAAGCACGGAGAGGAAAAGGAGGACAAGCCTGGGTACATTTGAAAATTAAATTATAGCTCCATGTTCTGGTAAGAATCTTTGAAGACTCAAGCAACTAACTTCAGTTTTTTTTTTTTTTAATATACTTGAATATTTCTACTTTAAGCACCCAAAATGGTTTATTTTGAAAGTCAGGGTGTGCGTATTGTTTGAAAGGCATTCTGTCTTATGTGTTTGAGACTGCTTCTAAAATGCTGTGTCTCAGTGAGAGATGTCTTTTCTTTCTGGAGATTTCCTTTCTAAGCCTGGTGATCTTATATTCTTCTCATTTAAGAAAGATGCCACAATTTTTCCTTGAACACGGGGACAACAGAATCAAGATGGGACAGGTACACAGCCACTGTGGGGGTAGAACTGGTAACAAGGACTCTAGGTACTTCTGACCCTTCCTTAAGAATTGTTGCTAGAAAGTCTTCTGGATTCCAGCTGTGGAACAGCTGGGTATAGCAGCTGACCAGTCACTCTCCTAGCTTAGTGAATAGTAGATTACGATCTACAATTGCCATTTCTCTCCCCATTTCCCTAATTCAATATCCTGCTTCTATGACTCTTGACATAAATAGTTCCTTCTTCATGTATCTCTTCTAGTCCCTTAAGACTGTCCTGTCTGCTTTCCACTCTTTTTACTCTACCTATATAGTTCGGTCTTACCCTACCCCACCTCTTAAATGGTGCATAATATGAAACTGAAGGGTTTAATTTGTTGTACTTGTTGAGAATTCCTTTTCTTAATTTAAAAAGCAGGTGAATTGAATGCTTTATGGTTTTCTAAGGAAGCACCTAAATTAAGTTGCTTTTTGTACATGGCCCTTGATTAGTTTTTTTCTTTGTGGGTCAGTGGCCCTCAATAGAAAAAAGGTCCCCCAGCCCTGTCCTAGGAGGCTTGGATGGCATTCAATGAAGCGTGCTTTTAAAGCTTAACTCTCTGGCATTAAAAACAAAAAAATCACTC